AAAAGAAAAAACTCTATATCCAGAATACTATACTTCCAAAATGAAGGTGTAGCTAAACATAATGTTACAAACCTGCATTCCCAGCTATCCAGGAGAATAAAGCAAGAGGACTGGGGAGTTCAAGGCCAGCCTGGGCAATAGAGCATACCCCCTCTCAAAAACAAACCAACCAATTATCAAAACTGAAAGCAGAAAAAACTATTTTTACAGGTGAAATTGAGACATTCTCAGTTAAACTAAACAGGAGAGTTCATTACTGGTATACCTGTCCTAGAAGAAACCTCTAGACTGAAGTGAAAAGACATTAGACAGTAATTTGAATCTACATGAAGAAATAAAGAATAGTGGTAAAGGTAATTTCTACACAGGTAAATATAAGTTAGTATTCTTTTTAGTTTGTAGCTTCTCATAATTTTCTGTATGATTTAAAAGACAACTATATAAAATAATAATTATAAATCTTATAAATCTTATTTTGAAGGGACTATAATAGATATATAAAGATGTACTTTGTGACAATAGCAACAAAAAAGCAATGGGACAGAACTATATAGGAGCAAAGTTTTTGTTGCTATGAAAACTAAAATCAGAGATACTGGGTGTGCTTATCATACACAAGGCCCCGAGTTCAATTCCCAGCATCCAAAACAAAAAGCAACAAAAACTAAATTGGTATTAATCCAATTACACTGTGATATATATTAAGATGTTAACTGTAAACCAAGGTTATCACTACAAAAATAACCAAATAACAACAAATATTCATGTATATTGAGAGAGAGAGAGAAACAACATGGGATACAAATATTCAGAATGCTATGGGAGAATAATTGCTTGAGCCCAGGAGTTTGAGGCCAGCCTGAGGATGTACTTCAGCGATAGACACCTAATGCATAAGCCCTGGGTTTGAGCCATAGCATCATACAAAGCACACAAGAAAATGGTTATCTAGCACAAAAGAAGGTAGTAACTAAGATCTTTTGTAATTTAGGCACTTATAGCAATAAATTTCTGAGTATTGCTTTCATTGCATCTTGTTAAGTTTTATGAATGCACTAAATAACCAATGAACTGTTTCTTTGATTTAATTAATTAATTAATTCATTCATTCATTCATTGTGACACGGGGATTGTACCAAGGGGCTCACACATGCTAGGCAAGTGCTCCACCAAGATATATCCCTAGCTCTTTTTATTTTTTATTTTGATACAAGATCTTGCTAAGTTGCCCAGACTGTCCTTGAACTTGTGATCTTCTGCCTTAGTCTACAGAGTAGCTGGGATTGTACCCATGTGCCACCATATCTGGCTAGATTGCACATTTTAAAACAGTCAAAATACTAGAAAGGCAATATATCAATCAATGGAAGGGTAACTGATGTGATACAGCAATCTGTATAC